AACTCTGATAAGTTGTTGTTGTCATTGTTAAGTGCTGTCAAGTCAAAGATGACTCATAGCGACCCTATGAGTGAAAGTCTTGAACACGTATAACTTTCATAGTTTCTCTAAGGTCATAGAATTTCCGGAGGTGATGTTTCTTTTAAGCTGCAAAATTTGTGATAATTTGTAATGAATCAATAGAAGAATAATACAAATTTTTAAAAAAATGAATAGAAGTGATGAGAACAGACATCCTTTATTTGTTCCTTATCTTAGAAGAATTGGAAGGAGGAGTGGAGTCTACTTCCGTAATAGCTTGCCTCCAGAAACCCTATGAACCTGGAAAGGGGATGAAAGGCACCCAAGTGTCGAGGAACTCTCCTTCATAGGGTCGCTATGAGTCGCCTGTGACTCAATGGTACTTAACAACAACAACAACAACAACAATCTTAGAGGAAAAGTATCCAGTCTCTCACCATAAAGTCTGATACTCTCTCTTACTAAGTCAGAACCAACCCTCCATTGGGTTTCTGAAGCTGTAAAATAAAGGAAGATTAAACTGCTCATTGCACTTCCTGAGAGCCGCTGGTAGATACAGACTCCTTTGAATTAGCGGTGCGGCAGCCTATGATCTACATTGCCAGAGTTGGGGGTTGTTCACAGATGGCATTTAATGAGAGGCATTTAATTACAAGTTTTCAAAAATACATACATGAATGGGTTGTATTATAGTGCATAACCAGGTTTTCTAATACTAAACAAAACTTGCATTCCTGTAACGAAGTCCTATTAGTCATGATATACTACAATGAAAATACATGGATATTCTGTATTCTGTTTCCGATTTTGTAAGATCTTTTCTATGAGTTTTCTTGTGCAGATCTGGCCTGCGGTTGTCTTTGTAGTTTCCATCAGATTTTCTTATCATGATTGTAATATCCTCTAAAATGAGTTTCAGTGAACTCCTCTTTTCCTACATTCTGTTTACAAACTTAGGGAACATGTTATACTCACGACCAGGAGTGAAATAGACAAGCTTCTTGCTGGTCCTTTCAATGGGTGGAATTTATTTTTCATTTTCACACTGCAATAGGCAAAAGTGATTCCAGCTTTTTCCATTGTTCACCAACAATTTTGCTGCATCACAGACTCCAGGCTTTATTTCTCTCCTCTATCTTCACTGTCAAATCCAGGTCCCCTTGGATTAGCTTCAAGGTTAAAGCAGGCACTGATTTTGGGACTGCATTTGCTCTCATTTTGTCTTGAGATTTATAAATTTCATACTTTTGTGCCAACTCAACGATGCATTTAAAAATGAATTGTATATTTTTTCCAGCATGTTAGCTTTTTTAGTTGGCAAAATTATTCAGGATAGCTATTCTACCATGTAGTCAAGATGGGATGTTTCTGTCGTTATTATTCCAACCAATTTCCTTACCACACGTCTGTCATCACACCACACGCTTTTTCTCTACAGGTGCAGGTTCTTGTTTCATAAAGGTCATGTATTACTTTTACATAAGCAGATACTTCTTAAGCCAGGAATGTTTTATTTATAGAGGCAATTTATAGACACAGTCTATTCTTTTGCTTCTTCAATGTAATGTTCTCCTTCCAAAAGCTGTCATGTCTTCTCACTGGCCCCAAAATGATTCATCTTTTGAAAAAAGAGATGCAATTCCAGCATTTGCTACCAAGGAAGAAGACATATGCACTGGCTCTAGCTCCCTGACACTCCAATGACTATAGAGAGTTCATCCCTCTTGAAATCTAAACAATAATGTTCAATGGCCATTAACAACCTCTAGCTTCCATGTGATGACAAACAGAAATCCAGCTGATACAGGTCTAATAAAATGAAGTTAACGGCCCCTCTGAGGAGTGAAAACTAAGTCAGACTTAAAGAGTAATTAGAATTATCCTTCTATTTTTTACAATAATAGTCTCATGCAGTATTTGTCCTTATGAGACTGGATTAGATCACTCATCATAATGCTCTCCAGTCTTTCCAAGTTATGCAGTATTTTTCAAAATTGTTACTCCTGAGTACTATATCATATTCCACTGTAAGTGTACTTAAATTTTCAATCCATTCAGTTGTGGTTGGATATTTGGGCCATTTCTGTGTTCTTGTGATGGGGGTAACGCTGCTAGCAACCCTGGTGGAGATCTCTGTTTGTGTCTCAGGTCTAATTTCCTTGTATGAGGACCCAAGGCGGGGAGGTGTGGGAGCAGAGGGGTGAGCATAGGTAGGGGTGAAACCACAGGGTTGCACAGTCTGGTGGGTGAAGGGAGGAGGGTTACAGAAATGGGAAAGACCCAGTGGGGACCTGAAAAGACAGGGTGATGATGGGCAAGGTCCAATGGTGATTAATTTTATAAAACATTATGCATAAAAAAACCCCCAAAAAACCATTAAGCATGTGAATGAAACACAATGTGAATAAAAAATAGTGTGAAACACAATGTATATGAACTTTGTAAGCAAACCAAAATAAAAAAAAATTTTTTAAAAGAGTCATTCTTTGCAAAGTATGATATACAAGAAACTAGAACCACCCAAAACAAAACCTATCCACAAACCAACCAACCTACCACCACTTGCATTTATTGCTCTCAATGTTCTCCCTTTCTTATATGAGAATATAGCATTTTCCTGGCTACAAGTATGCATTTTGGATACACTGTGGTTCTCTCTACCTGTTCCCACTTTTTGCTCTGCTACAAACCAAAACCCGTGTGGATAGTGAGGAAATGAGCTAACAGAGCACAGCAAGCCTCTGCCTGCTCCCAAGCTTAGAGAAGAGGGACAGGCAAAGGCTTTCAACCTAGCTTTTTCAAGTTCATGGTTAATCTGCTCTACTCCACTTTAATGAAGAGGGCACATACATCTTAATTCCCCTTCCTTCACAAGACAGTTCTGAACATTCCTTCCGAGTTTAGAACATGTTTTTCGCTCATATTTCGTTTCTAATGCTCATTAAGGCTAGAATCCAGGTTGGAAGTCTTCCAGAGCAGTCAGATTATACAGAGGTTTGTTTTCTGCTTCTGGGGAGGCCTAGGGTAGAATGTTTACTCGCCATTGGGTGTGAGTTGATTTTATTTGGCCTCCTATTTAAAAAGGCATTTAACAACAACAACAATATAGAGAGCTCTGAAGGCCTAGTGGATAGAAAGTTATGCTACCAATGTAAAGACGGGTGATTTTTAATCTGCAGCCTTCAAGCCTGGTTTTAATTGTTTTGGTCAAACATTCTTCCAAGTGGTATAGCACTGGTCTGCCCATTTGCTGTACAGAGGCAATTTATAATTGCTGTGATACTGATGTGTAAAATGGGATAATGGTTACCCATGATGGACAGTGTTTGGCGGAGCTCTCTGATTAAAACAAGGTTGGAAGCAGGAATGGCATCCATTTCCAAAATACCTTGCCTCTGGAAACTCTATGAACTTGGAGAACGATGAAAGTTATACAAATGTTCAGGTTTTTCATTCATAGGGTCACTAGGAGTTGTCTATGACTTGACAGCACTTAACAACAACAAAGCTCTTTACAGGTATTTTAAAGGTAATTTGGAAGAAACCAATTTTGTATTTACTAAAAAAAAAAATTAGTAAATTACTATATGCAGTCCAGTATGTGTGGCACTGCCTGCTCCATAACCCCCCACGACCTAAAAATATGTCAACTTGGTTAAATCAAGATTTCTAGTATTATATAGCTGTCCTCATTTGGTCATTTGATGCATCTGTTTTCCATTCTGTGATCTATTTTACGTGTTGTGTATCCTGCCCTCTAGGTACGTAGTGGCATAGTGCCATGTTGCTACCTAAAAGGTCAACAGTTTGAGTTCACCAAGCACAGTTCGGAAGAAAGACAGCAATCTCTTCATGTAAATTAATATAGTCTGAGAAATCTGATAGAGGGTTCTTATGAGTTAAGCAAGAGGACTTTGTTAATGAGGATTTGTTTTTGTTGTTGTTATGTGCCGTCGAGTCGCTTACGACTCATAGTGACCCTATGTACAACAGCCCTAAGCTCCGCTCTGTCCTGTGCCAATCACACTGTCTCTGACACTCCCATCCCAATTATCCCAGTCACTGAATCAATCCACCTCATAGAGGGCCTTCCTCTCCTGCGCCGTCCCTCCACCCTCCCAAGCATGATGTCCTTCTCCAAGGACCGGTCTCTCCTCACAACATGTCCAAAGTATGTTAGACGGAGCCTCAGAATCCTTGCCTTCAAGGAGCCACCCGATTTAACCCTTTCCAGGACAAATCTGTTTGTTTTCCTAGCAGTCCATGGTATTCTCAATACTCTTTTCCAGCATCACAGCTCAAAGGCATCAATTCTCCTTCTATCCTCCTTGGTCATTGTCCAACTCTCTGATGCATAACAAGTGATTGCGAAGACCATGGCCTGTATCAGATGCACCTTAGTCTCCAGAGAGACACCATTGCTCTCCAGTACTTTGGAGAGGTCCCTAACAGCAGACTTTCCCATGGCTTAGGTTATGCTTTTTATGTTAATGAGGTGGGATTAGGGAGAGATATATCTTATCTTGAGTTACATCAGACCTAGAGTACCATCTATGGTTGAGTTACAGGGTTTATCTTACAAGAGATAAAGGGAGAGAGAAGTGAGTAGAGAGGTGAGGAACTTCATTATCAAGAAAGAAGATGGGGAATTGAGCACATCCTTAGGTCTAGGGTCCCTGCACTGAGAACCTCCTAGACCCAGGGGGAGATTAATGCCAAGACACATGGAGATCTCCAAGCAGCACTGGGTCCCTAGAGTAAAAAAAGAGACAGGACTTTCCCCAAGAGCCAAAAGAGCAGAAAGATTTCTACAGCTGCCGCACTGAATCAAAACTTTGGCTCCTTAAATGACTAGAGAATACATTTGTTAACGCCATCCTCTTGTATTTGTGTTACATCAGCACTATATAATGGAACATTTACCATATTATAGTTCAGCAAAAATGCAGCGAACAAATTCACACACTCCAGAAAATTACCTGTCATGCTTGATTCTGGCGAGGAGAGGCTCCAGCCACCCCACTGTGCACTCACAGTGCGCATCTAAGAAGGTGATCACTTGACCTTTAGAAACAGCAGCTCCTTTTAATCTTGCCCGAATCAATCCGGAACGCTGCTCCATTCGAATTACATGAACGGGCACTTTCAACTTTTTCACATAACTCTCCAGAGGTCTTTTCAAGAAGTCTGAAAAATTAACAAAACCAACAAATAAATATCATGGGGGAAAAGTGTGACTAAAGGCTACACGGATGTAAAGTAATTTTGATTTGCAGTATTCATCCAACATATATTTAGTAACACTTTCAGTAAGGTTGATTCACAACTCATTTCTTTATAAAGAAGCTTTTTTGTTTCCTGAGAACATGTAATGGAGCTGTCTCTACATTATTACCCTGCTCCGGTTCAAACAAGAATAGTCACATTACCGCATTTTTATGGGTAACTCTGTCTGACTCAATGCTTCTTTTTCTAACAATACTTAATGATGAGGAATGGAAAGAAAGTTAAACAAATTAAATCCAGACATCAACAGTCAGAAGGCATAGATTATGTAAGGGCTATTAGAATTTAGGAAATTAAAAAATTTTTTCAGAAGTAGAAAAAATAAATTGTCTAAAGGTTATTACAGTCTTTCAATACAGTTCTTTTATCAGAAGACAAGAAGTGAAGTAAAATTCAGAAGAGAAATACAGAACAGAGAGCCACAACAGAGAAGTTTACATTTGAAGAGGGAAAGGACGCTGATGCAGAAAAGAGAAAAGGAATGATAAGGGGGTGGGGGAAGAGACAACACAAAAATGAGCAGAGTGTATGAAATCATTAGCTATGGTGGTGGGTCCAAGATGCAAACCTGAGTCTGACGGTAAAGCCCATTTTTTCATTCATGTCAAGTAATGCTCAAATTACTTAACTGATTTTGAAAGGTAGAAAAGTCTCAGTCCTCAAAGAAAATGGAATATATTTTTCAAGTTGGGTTACCTTGGGGAGCTTTGGTGGCCTAGTGGGAAAAAGCCGTGTTACAATCCCAAAGAAAGGCATTTGGTTTGAATCCATCAGCTGCTCCATGGGAGAAGGATGGGCAATCTCTTCCCATTCAATTTACTACCTGTGAAAACCTGCTGGAGGGTCAGCTATGGGTTGGTTCTGAGCTGATGGTGCACAACAACATGGAGTTTATGTCAAAGGACTTATTGGTGGTGTTATGGCTAAATATCTTCTCAATCAGTCTTGGCATATGAGATAGGAAGATCCTCTCTCTAGGAAAAGATGTACTTGAGACTGAACTACTAAACTTCTATAACTAGCTTTGTTGTGTGGGACTCTAACAACGGGAAGGCTAGAGAGATTCTGATGCATGCATAAAGAAGAGACTCTTTAAATACTGAGAGTGGGGATGCAAAGGACTTCCTATATAAGGAAGACAGACAGAGAGCAGTGAAGTGGGTTTTGCCTGTATGACCTGGTAAGACTCAATATTAATCAGAGATAAGAACATGATGAAAGAGAAAGGAGACTGACCATTGGCTTTTCTGGGCATGTATTTCCTAGGAGCTGGGACAAAAAGAACATCTAAAAAATATCTGGAATACAACTCCTGCCTGATGACCTCTGTTTTGTTTTTAGAATGTCTTTTTAGCACCAAGTCTGAGGATAAAGAAAGCTACAACCTGATATGGATAGAAAGGAGTGTGTCGTGCCAACCTGGGGAAAGCAGAATTTTAGCAACAGTTGCTGTCTTTCTGAGCAGGCTTCAGCACGATGGTAGGTAAAGCTCTTTACATATTTTATCTCACTTAATGTTCATAACAACTCTTTGAGGTTATGTGTTTGGAAATGAAAGTCTAAGACTCTGAATATTAAAAGAATTTGATCAAGGTGACACAGCTGGTTAAGGACAGACAACGCGATTCAAACCCTGTCTGTCTGACTTCAATGCTCTTCTTTTCAGTCATAGCAATGAACAAATCGTAGAAGAAAACTCTAGAGAGAATAATTCTGGACTAGGATCCAACTGATGTGACTTTAATTATTCACTTTATGTTTAGAGTTTGGTGAGAGTCTCATGGGGCAGGTATGCGGTATGGTCTAAGTGTACATATTCAGAAGAGTCAACGCTAGGTGCATCACTGTGTTCCTTAGTGAGTTTATTATTTTTAAAAAAAATAATGGACAGCTAATGTATTTTTTTATGAACCCAATTTCCTGAGTCTCCTATCTTTGAAAGCAATAACAAACACACTGTTTTGTCTATGAGCAAAATAAAAAAGAAAACGGCAGGATTCTGTGGTCTGGCAGCTCAAAAAAATTGTGATTTCACAAATTTACTTGGCATCTTTAATGTTTTAATGCAATCGTTGTGTCTTCCTGCCAGATGATACAGAAATAGAGACTAAGGGTGCCAAGGGGATCAGATAAGAGCTATGTGTGTCTCACAAAATAAAGCCATGGGAGGTTAAGAGATTGTGCTAGATGGTACTAGCCCTCCTAAAATTAAGACAGAATCTTTTTAGAAAGTTGTTAAAATTTATTGGCCTATAAATGGATCCCAAGGAGCTCAGGTGATGCCATGGTTAAGCATTTGGCTTCGAATGAAAAAAAAAAATTGCTGTCTAGTCCCACCAGCTGCTCTGTGGGTGGAAGACAGGACAGTTGGCTACAGCCCTGAAAACCTCATGAGGTAATTCTACCATGTCCTATAGGGCTGCCTGTCTATGGTCAAAACTGACTGGATGGCATTCAACAACAAGAGGCATCAGGAAACTGGAGCTTATGTAGGAGTGTGAATGCCAGGGGATGAATGTCAATGTGAAGGTCAGGGAAGGTTCGCTGCTCCCAGCAACATATGAGAACTATTAGTCAGAATTCTAAAGGGTAGCAGGCAGAGCAAGGCATTTAGAGGGCCATTAAATATGAACCTCTGTTTCCTTTTGTATAAAATTGGAGAAGCAATAGTCATTATCTCTGGTTGGCAGCATATATTGGTTGTAATTAAGCTTTAAAGTAAGACTCTGAGCAGATGATTATATAACTCCTGACATAAATTAGGGATTCGTCTAAACTCTGTCTTTCATTAAAGATTCTTTAACACGAAAGCAATGTGTGAAGGAATGCGCACAGCAGTTAGGAGGTCAAGCCTTGGGTTTATACAGAGATTAGACACTTCCTGAACCCTGCTGAGCCTCGTGCTCATCGTTGGTGAAACAGGATAATTACAGGGTAATTATTAAAGTTCATACTTTAATAAATAGTAGCTATTGGTGGAGTGGGTTATTTGTCAGGCTCTTAACTACAAAGTTTACACACCATGGACCCTAGACAAGTAACACGGTAAGATTCCTATGTTTAAATGCTCACTCTAAGAGCCTGGTGGATAGATGGGAATAGGAGAGGGTGGCTAGGAGAAGATTACTTAAACTAGTTATTTTATTTTATCATCTGGATGAGAAATGATGGTGCTCTGGGTGTTTCATATATAGGAAAAAATTAAAGCTGGAGAAATAGAAGGCATAGTTATGTTCTTAAAAATAACATAGAAAAATAAGCGTACTTTGTATCCAACCATTAGTATCTAAACAAGAAAGTGAAGAACGAAGCTGAATAAAATGGGATGAGACAATTCTCCACCTGGATAACAAGGCTGCAATTATATCATGAAACCACCATTCCCAGGGGCTCCTATCTAGCAGAAATGGGGACCTGGACACCTGAGGTTTCCCAGGTGGGACGATAAAGGAGAATCCAATCTCTGAGCAGGACTCTAGGGATCCTGAGAGTGACTGAGAGCTGCAGGTGGAGGAGGAAAATAAGACTTCTCCCTGCAGCAGTTTTCTCTTACAGCTTTAGATAAAGAAAACTGGTACGCATGAGTTTTCATCACTCTAGAGTTTCAGGCAGAAGTTTCTTTCTGATGAGGCCAGTTTCCTACACAGACTAGTCCATACACACCTCTTGAACACTCAACAGAATGATAGTCAAGCCAAAAGAGAAAATGGAAAGCACTTCCTCTATCTGAAGGAAAACATTTCTCCTTGAGAAATATTTAATTAAGTGAATAGAAGTAAGTAAACCAAACACAAATTACTTGCAGGATAGATGTTTGCATGTATCATGACTTAAATTAACTGGAGTTAATCTTCTTAAAGGGAAAAGAAATTCACTGAGACTGACAAATTTATTATCAACAGAAATTATTTCTTTAAGTGTGGTATTCTTAATTTACAATAGCTAGCATTCACATTGGCATTTCATTATATGGTGTATTACATACTTTTATTTCAATACTTTGTGTGTTTATACATGTAATCCTTAATTAGAATACAAGGTTCTTAAACAAGGTAGATCTCTATCATTTGTATTTATAAGCTGGTAAGGAGCTAAGATCTAAATTGTTACTAATGTGTAGATTATTCACAAATGATTATGGTATTAAATTGGTCAAAGAAGGAACGAAATCCCAGAGGGAATTCTTTTCTGTGACTATCTGCAAATTGTTCTTAAGGGAACACAGTACGTGGAGGAACAAACCATAGCAACAAATGAGGCCCACTGCTATCAGGTCAATTCTGACTCATCTTGACCCCACAGGCCAGATCAGAACTGCCTCACAGTGTTTATGAAGGCTGTAAATCTTTACATGAGCAGACTTTCACATTTTTCTCCTGCAAAAGGGCTGGTGGATCTGAACTGCTAACCTTTCAGTAAGCACAATTCTTAACCCACGGCACCACCAGGGATTCTTAACACAGCGCTAATAATAATGATACGTATTTTTGTTGTTGTGTGCCACTGAGTTGAACTGACTCATCGCTGGCCCTCCAAGAAGTCTTCAGAGGCAGTAAATCGCACAGGAGGACTTCTCCTTTTAGCCTCACAGCCGCTGGTGGATTTGAAACTCACACCTTGAGAATTGCAGTGCAGCTTTTTACCACTAGGCCACCAGAGCGCCTAATGATATAATGATTTATAGTGAATTATGGGAAAGAAAAAACAACAACAACTGTTAGGGAAATGTTGGTGGTCGTCAGATTTAACAGATGTTTTTACTGATGAGTATTTTTTTAATTACTTACAGCATACTATTATATTATGCATCTTTCCCCCCCCAAAAGAGTGCTTTATGAAATCATTTAGAGAACTACACAATTGTGGAAAACTAAAACTTTTGGAAAGAATTACTATGAGAATCATATTGTTGTTATGTGCTATCGCACCAACATAAACTAACAGCCACCTGTGAACAAGAGATCAGAACCGGCCCTTCTTGCATTATCCTCACAATTTCTGACATGCCCACTGCTAGCTGCTGGGTCAAGCCATCCTGCTGAAGGTCCTCCTCTCATTTTCTGACTCTCTACCTCTCCCAGTACAATGCCTTTTTCTAAGGACTGGTTATTCTTGACAACATGGTTCAGGGACCTTTTCTAAGTTTCTTGCTTTTAGGTACCAAGCGATAGATTATTTCTGAAACTTAGAATTGGAAACCTTGGGAAGAATCTGGAGAACTAAAGTGTACCCAGCTAGAGTTCCATGCGGTGTCAAAGATACTTCCAAACTAAATAAAATGAAGTTTCTCAGTTCATTACTCAAAGCAAGATGTAATCCCGCACCATTAACTCGGGAAGGGCTGTCGTTTCCCACAGAGAGAACATTCTAACAAAATCATGCACGCTTTCTCACTGATCTGCACAATTATATTCTATATCATTATTTCTTTTTAAAGCAAGAGTAAAAAATTATACAAATTAAATGTTCATTGAAGTTGTGTTTTAAGAAGGGTATAATTTGTTGCATTTGTGAAGGAGTACAAATGCCACAAATATTTTTAAGCTGAATTAGAAGTGTACAAAATTATTAGGTTAACAATAATTGCAACTTCCCCGCACCCCCCGTCCAAACTCTCAGCCCCAGGAGGTGCAGCTTATCAATGGCATTCTAATTTGACGTTTACCTCGTTCACTGGCGTCATCGACCAGCACGATCTCTTCTAGCATGTGTCGCGGTGAGCGGTTAATGACACTATGGACAGTTCGCAGGAGGGTGCTCCAAGCCTCGTTGTGGAACACAATTACCACACTTGTCGTCGGAAGAGAATCTGGATACACCTTTGTTTTACACCTAGAGACAGAGCAAGTGCCTTTATTAGAAGGGATTGTTAAGACAGCAGAATAAATGAATGGACAGGACTGGAAAGGATAAACTAGAAAAGCTGCTTTTCTAAAAAGCTTGCCTCAGAAGCAGGATCTTGGTGATTTCTGTACTTGTAAATAAGTACTAGCGGCTAATGAAGGAGCTCTGGTGGCCTAAAGGCAAGAAGCTGCACTGCAATCCTGAAGGCATGTGGCTCGAGTCTCCCAGCTGCTCCGTGGGAGAAAGATGAGCATCTCCTCTGTGATTAACTGCCTCTGAAAACTTGCTAGAGGGTCACCTATGGGTCAGTTCTGACTTGATACACAACAACAATGGGTCATAAATAACATCTATTTAAAGTCAGATATTTTGACTATAATTATTTAAAAGATATGAATATTGTTGTTGTTTCATAGTGAGCCTATCAACAAAAGTCCTCAGCACTTGTGTACCTTTCATCCTCTCTCCAGGTTCACAGGGTTTCCAGAGTCAAGCTATTATGGAAGTGGATGCCACTCCTCCTTCCAAGCTTGTTTTAATCGGGGAGTTGAAAAGTAACAAACAAGTGTAGAGCCATACTTTTTTTTTATATATAAAATGTATATACGTGTTTATCAGGACAATGTAAATTGGTAAAAGGGGAAAGAATTTTAATGAAGTTTATGAAAATGTCAGGAAACAGAGCACTCTAAAGGACAAATACCCCCCAGGCTTCCTCTGGGTCCTCGCCAGGGTAACCAGTCTCCTGGAGTTCTATTATAGACAAGTGCCACCTGTTTTTTGTTTGTTTTAGAGAGCAATGGTTCTCAAACTTTTTAATTCAGAAATCCTTTACATTCTTAAAAGTTTCTGAGGATGTCAAAGAGTGCCCTTCTACATCTACTGATGCTTCCTGTATCATAAAGTAAACCAGAAAATTTTAAAAGAAAGAATCTCCAAACACGTATGACATTAGCTGTCAAACAGACGGCTCTTCACAATCATGCAGTGAGCCAGTTCCCGATTCAATGCTTCTCAGTTCCAAATCCATCCTTTTCTATGCGTAAGCATTTCTCCTGTGCAGGTGGCACAACACTGCACTCAGTACAAGGTGATGAAGTGACACTGTGGAAGGAAGGCACCTAGCATCTTGATCCAGGTGTGCTTCTGAGTCTCTGTCTTTCTCCTATTGCACAGCTCCCAGAGGTGTGTGGAGGGTGGTGGCACTTACAGGCATTCATGCTCAGTAAGTTTTCGTTAGATCCTTGAAGGCTGCCTTTTCATGACCTTCACACGCACTCCACTGAGTTTCCTGCCTGTGGCTTCCTTGAAAATGACTCCCCTGGCCTGGTTCTGTCTGCCACCTGTGGATCTGACTTCCTGCTTGTCAGTCCTTGTCACAAAGACCTGCAGAGTCATCTCTACCCCATAGGGCACTGTGTACCAGGTGTAGCCAGAAGCAACCAGCACATTTCACCATCTGCTGAGTTTCACCATCTTCTTAAAATAGGCCTAAGTCTTAAGCTTAAAGAGCGAATTTCCTTCCACAGTTCTTTTCTTGGCACTGTGTTTCCACCCAGGATGTCTTTAGAACTGTTGTTGTTAAGTGCCATCGAGTTGTAGACGACTCATAGCAACCCTATGAACAAAAGACCTGAGCACTGTTCACAGAGTTTCTGGAGGCAAGTCACTTCAGAAGTGGATGCCACTCCTGCTTCCGACCTTGTTTGAATCAGGAAGCTGCA